TGAGATCAGATTTGAATTCAGGTCCTCCTGACTCCAGGGCAGGTGCTCTATCCGCTGTACCACCTAGCTGCCCCAGGATGTTTTTTAGAGAGATTTTCTTAAGTGTTTTCCAGCCATCAAAGCTTAGGGATTTGAGGGTTGTAATCTCCATGTCTAAGTTAAAGTATTTTTTTTTTAATCCCTTCTTTAGTGAAATGCTTTAAGGTTTTATGGTTTTTTTAGTCTTCTTGAGTTAGAATTTTAAAAAGTGGAGATCGTTGTTTACTCGGTTATCTTCTGGTTTGTATAACATTTTCTATTCTTTTTTATCTCTTTTGTTGCCCATGCCAAATATTCTTTTCTGAGTGACAGTATTTTTTCTTGCCTTGGTTGAAAACGTGTTAATAATAAAGTAGAGATTGTAGTCTTGAAACAACATATCAGTCACAGTAAGAACTGATCCATTATATCGTACCTGTATTTTATAATGTTGGGGAGGGTTGTTGGGAGAATGGAGGTGACACAGGAGAAGAGGATTGAGTGGTTTATGATTTTAAGAAGTTCAGAATTTTAGGATTTGGGATGGCTTGGCCTTCATTCCACAAACAAGCAGCAGGAAGCTAGCCAATTGAAAAATGTACATTAAGTACAGCAACAGTGTAGAGGTAGACAGTAACAATAACAAAACAGGAATTCAGTTTAACCATTGAGAAACCCAGAATGTTGTTCATGGTTTCTTATGTACAAGATGAGCATAGGTTTGACCAAGCCATTTAGCCTTGTCTTGAATTATATAGTACTGGTTATCTCTTAACAAAAACTAACCAGGAATTCACAGTGCGTTTTGAGATTGGTAGGAGAAAGGTGTTTAACAGAACCAATCATTATCTCTAAAAGATGCAGGAGTCTTCAACTATCCGTACTACTCTAGTAATAACATTAATTGCCCAGAGTTTGTACTCAGATTCCTTTCTGTCCTTATAAAATGTAGCTACTTTTATAGGGGATTTTATATTTAAATAATTCTGTTAATGTTATTATAAGATCCTGACATGCAGAACTCAGGGTTGAGTTACTAACTTAATCTAAGACAATTTTTCCCTCCTCTTTCACTCCCAAGCACTCTTTATGAGTACTTGAACATTCTCCATCAAGCATATAGATGAAGAGCTTTTAAATGCTTCAGTTTAAAAATAAAAAAGTTGTATAGCGGCACATTGCTACCTCTTTTGTAATTTCTGATCTTAAAATAATTGAATAAAAATGCTGAAGTGGTTTAATATTGTGATGAGTTATATGCTCAACATCTTGTTCTCAGAGAAATGATAAAATAAATTATTGATTTCAGTCAGGTTAATACAAGAACCTTTTTGTAAGGTTTTTTGCCTAACCACTTCCTGTTATCTCTTTTTTAAGTATAGCTTTCCAGGATTTTAAAGAGGTCCTTTAAATTATAGCTATCTTTATGCATGTAAAAATGCTTTTTGAACTTAATAAGTACACAATAGGACGATGTATGTTTTTACATTTTAAGAATTAAATTCCATAGTAACTAAAGGTATATGCCTTCATCTTCTTTAAATTGACAAACCTGGTGCAACAATAAGACTGGTTCTGATTTTTTAAATGATACCGAGGATTCTTTTTGTTTGTTTGTTTAGAGTAAAATCAAATCCTACAATCGCTAATCTCTGTTTTTGTAATGATAGTTGGAGATGGAGCCAAATGCCTTGTCATTTAGGGAATATTTTTGTAGACAATGCTGCTAATGGAAAAATGTGGAAAATTCTGTAAATGCTGCAGATATATAAAAGGGGGGAAATGGTAAGACCTTTAAGATGAAGTTTGGGGGGAGATTAGAAACTAATTGATAGCAAATTCTGTGTAAAGTATCTTTAACACTAGCACAGAACTAGAAAGTCACCCAAAATGGTTGCTATACCATCAAAAGTAAGCCTTATTTTATCTTCATTTCTTTCTGCTTCCTAGAGTTTTAGTACAGTTTGAACACAAGGTAAAGGACAACCTGATGGTACTGACCTTAACTGGACCTCTGGAAAGACAACCCTCCACAAAGGGAGTTTTGAGGAAGGGAACAAGAATTTATTGAGCTCCTACTATGTGCCAAGCACTGTGCTAAGTACAGATATCATATCATTGATCTTTCTAGAGTCCTTTAGTAGGCAAAGGTCCAAAGTGATACCTTCCTCTAATAAAAGGCTACTTTTATCTGTAAGTGTTAACACAAAAACTGCCTAAGCACCAAATGGGGATCTGAAGGTGCACACAAATTGAAATGCCTAATTCTGAATAATAAATGATGTAATAGTGCAATATGAAGTGCTATTAGCATGTGAAGAAAGATATCCTGAGAGTATCATCACAAAGCCGAAATTTGAATAGTCAAAACTGAGAATGCAAAATCAAGAGCAGAGAACGTCCTATATATCAAAGCAGGTATAGGGAGGTCATTTGGAAGAAAGGTATGGAGTATGAGTGACAGGAGAGGAAGAGAGGAGAGAAAGTTGGAAAAGTTTAAAATAATTACCTGGGGGGGGGCCTTACTGAGCCAAGAGTATAGGGAGTTTGAACCAGCTTTTTATTCAGAAATTCCTGATTCCAATTCCTAGACCAAGGAAGGAGGTCCACGTAAAGCCTGCTTGTTCATTTTCAACAGGCCCAAAAATAAATCAGCTAATTTCAAAAGCCATGTGACATTACTTTATATGACATTACTGCCTAGAGAATTGAATTCAGTAATGTAAGACAGATAGGTCATGAAAATATTTTCCCCACCTATCATTTCAAACCATATACGTGGCCTGTCTACTTGGTTCTAAAGTAAAGTGTTCCTCATGGTTAACTAAGAAAACTGTGTTCAGTTGTGACCTCGAAACTAGCCTTGCTATTCATATCATCACTTAGAATTAGTTGAACAGGAAATCTACCTTGTTCTACTATGTTTCTGCTCATTCTTTTACAGTACTATGTGTAATGTAGGTATGTGCATTTCAGGGAACCATACAAAAGTATAAAATTAGTGAGTTGTCAAATTAGTATTCTATAGGGTAAAAAAAAAATTAGAATCAGTCAAAATTTCCTAGGAACAGACCTAGTAATTTTCATTTGAGGTAACAGGAGATGGATTATTTTACATTCATATTTCCAAATTATGGCTTAAAGCTTAATATTGGAGCAACAAGTATTTGTTGATTGCAATCCTTTTTTGCTTTGTGTGAACTATATGCCAGATGGTTTCTGCCATGGTTATGCTAATTGAAATGCATCACCCAGTACTGCTTGCTTTGGCTCTTCCTACCAGCTTGAAAATTCCTCATTTAAAGGCATTCACTCTTTGACTCTCTCAGTTCTGCTTTACTCTATTCCCTTAAAAGTTTTGATTCCCTATTCCTTCCCCACCCCAATCTGAATATTTCAGTTTGTTTTTGTTTTTATTGCAATGATGATCTAATGGTTTAGGGACACATATACTAGATTTCTTAGATTCACAAATGTTGCTAATGTGAAATGAGAATCTCAGACTCTTTTATGAGCCCGTTTTATCCAAGCTAATTTTAGAATTGGGTTGTTGAATGAAATGTGTCCGAAATTGTTTTTAGTCATGGACGATGTCATTTATGTCTTCAAGAAACATTGAATTGACAGTATTATCATTAATACCATTGTATACTAAGTTTCATTATTAAATACTTTATACGAACTAATTTTTTTCACATTAAAAAGGTTGAATGCTTTGGGATCTTTGAATGAAAATGCAGATAAATGTAAGGATAATTCTCGTAAGAGTATAGGTAAGAATTCAGCTTCATACCACTAGATTGAGTTATTTTAAATATATTCATGCACAAAAGCATTATTATTTTTAAAGGTTCATTTAAATTTATGTCAGATAAGTAGTTTGTGATGCTGAGAGCAATAAGTGTACTGAATTATGCCACCAATTAGAGCCAAAGTTGGGGAGATCAATGTGATGTGTAGGTTACGAAACACTGAGTATTAATGGTATGTGCTCAGAGGGTTACAAGTGCTAGAATGAATGTTTCTGAGTGCTGCCCGCTAGTAGGAAAGTTACGTAATCCAGCTTTCAAAGTCAAAAGAATGTAGAGCATTGTGTCAGCTGTTACTCAGAGCATTTTGGTGTTTCCTTTTGGACAGCTGATCTCTCATCTTAGGAGATACTATATAAACAATCCTATTCCTAAAAAAAAAAGTACCCAGTGAAATTACTGCTTAATTCATTCAGTTTTTAAAGATTTGTTTTTCTTTCATCAAGTGATGGGATATTTTTGATTGTATAACTTTAAAAATCACAATCTATTCACAAGAACAAGATTTAGATTTAATAGGGAAAGAGAGGATAGTTGTTTGGCCATATAGGAAAATGAGGGGAAGTTTTTGTTCACAGTTAGACAGTTTAAATGTTATATTCATTTCAACAAATTTATTAAGCACCTACTGTGTGCTAGGTCTTAAATTCTGATAAAGGCTAATATTGAACTAAATATTTGGTTTTAGATATTTCTTAATGTAAGCAAACAAGATGAGCCTAAAGATAGTGAGGCTTGAAAAAAAAATAAACAACAAAAAAGACTACAGGTTAAAGCTAATAGTGTCTTACAGCATGCTTAGCTGTCTTGCATAACGTAAGGCCCTTGAAATAGATGCCGTCATCAGCCCCAGCCCCCAAGCATTAATCCTATTTAAACACATGACAGAAGATGGTGGAAGAGAGAGTAGCAGCTATTCATGTGGTAGGAGTGGTTATTGTGTTAGGGTATACTTTCTGTTGCAGGCCAGCATTTTTTGAGTTAAAACATTGCAGCTGTCTCTTCTCCTTTCCTCTTCTTTTCCTCTCTCCCTTTTTCTTCCTCTGCACCCAAACTGTCATACTTTTTTTTCCACACTTTGTTTCTGTCTTTGGATTTATCTAAAGTCCAACTTCCTGCTGTATTCTTGTTTTATTTCTAAAGAGATGTGAGTTTCATTTTCTTTCTCTCTAGCAGGCAACGGACAGTCAAGGCGTAGATCCATTCAAGACTTGAGTGTTACTGGAACAGAACCCAGTCAGGTAAGACAGTTCTTAAGTTCTCTGTCTTTGAAGAATAGTAAATGGGAGAAGACTTCGAGTTATTTTCTAATACATTTTGCACAATTTGTGTGTAAATTCAAATAACTTCTTTGACATGAAATTGTGACCAAGTTCTTTTGATCTTGAACTTTAATGCATAGAAAAAAGCTATAGTTGCTGCATAATTTGATTTGAAGAATATCTTATGAAGACAGGTAGATTAAAGTCCAAGTAAACACAGAAAATAAAATAAATCAAGCTTTATATTTGAAGTGTGTTTTTAGTATTTTTGTATCAACTAATAGAGCAATTTCACTCATAATCTTGATATAAATATATGATAGTTGTTTAATAAATTCACTGTCACTCTGTAAGATGAACCAATGATACTATTCCTATCTTGTAACTCAACTAGGCTGTGACATTCCCAGGAAATCTTTGACATGCCTGGAGGAATCTACCATGTTTAATATGGCATCATTTATCACATTTTTATATATGTGTGTGTGTGTGTGTGTATATATATATATATTATATATATGTAAATGTATTTGTGTATGTATGTATATATAACTATATATATGTATATATATAGTTGTAATCCTACAAAACATTGCTTTAAAAATTGAGCATTCTTTAAATTCATTTATCCAGGTTATGATTTATGTTCTTCATTAATTTTAATAATGTAATTTCATTAATTCACATTTTCTTCTGTGTTGTTACTTAATTGCTACACTTTTCTAGGTGACCCAGGAAGTTGTGTTGTTTATCAAATGTCGGTGTTGTAATCTCAGCTAAAATAAAGGCTCCACGTATTTGACCCAGCTTACCTATATGATAGGAGTTAGGGTATATATGAATGGCTCAATGTTTCTGACTTTTCCCCTTATTTATATTAACTCATCACTCTGCATATAATTTCATGCCAAATTCCATAGAAATAATACATTTTGGTCATGATAGCTTTATAATTAATTTTTTTTGTTTTGATTAGGCTGATTGTATTCATATGAAATACATCAGAAGTATTCGAAATTCCACTTTGCAGGCCTAATTTAAAATTCTAACTCGTGTAAAGTATTTTTAAGTATTGTCTACTATGTACAATGTAAGCATTTACTTACTGTAAAATTTTTTAGTGCTTTTTATTCTAAGATAGTAATTCATTACCATTTACAATTTTTATAATGCATTTTAAATGTTGAAGGTACCTTACAATCATAGGATACTTAAGTAACTGATATACTCAACCTCCATTTTATAGCTAGAAAGATTTTAAAAACAGAATCTAAAATGTTAATATTGCAGATTTTTGCTCTTCTCACTGAAAAAGTCTTGCTTGTTTTTGAAAATGACTGTGGTCTACACCAAGATTGCCCAAAATATTTATAATGTGGTTTTTTTCGTGTTTTGGGTGAATTTAAGATTTTATTTCCACCTAATTAGCCGTTTTGTTAATTGTTAATTTTTTTTTATTTTATGATGAATCTCAGCTTTCAACTTTCTCCTATTTTCCCACTTCAAATACCATATTTGTTAATTACTCACAATTAGTAGCAAATAGTTGGACATCTGGCATCTGCTCTACTTCCTAGAGGCTTAATGATCTCATGCTTTGAAACTTTCTTTACTACTGTCATTGATATCCCAATTATGATCCTCCTTCTAGCCAAGAGTTACTCTTTATACTAAGAATGTGATGCTTCCTTTCATTCATTTCACAAGGGACTATAATTCTTTCCTTTACACTAAAGAATAATGGCATTGCTTTGAATTAGTGTTCTTCCCTTAGCCTTATTAATTTTCCCACTAGTGTGTTCTGTCTTAGTGAACGTTATGATTGCTTTCTCATTCCTTGATTTGTAATACTTTCAAGTGTGAAAGCATAATATATCCAAGCCAGAATATATAGAGTAGAAGGTCTTATTTTGTTGAACTGTCATAAACTACTCTAAAAATTTCTGTATTTTATTCAGACAAGATGAGCTATTTAAAGTAGGTCGTAGAAAGCCCATAGCTTCTAATTTACCTGGGCTGCTTTTTGTAAGTAGACTTACTGTCACAAACTCTTTAACTATAAGTCCATTTGTAATGTAAGCACTAAATATCCTTTCCTTTACACAATTTTATATCAAATGAGATTCAAGAAAAGTATTCTGGATCCTTAAGTAGATAATATAAAGGCATTCTGGCATAGTGGACATAATTGCTGGAAATGGAGTTAGGAAAACCCAGACTCAAAACCCATCTCTGATACTTGCTAGCTGTGAGAGGATGCACAAGTCATTTAAGCTCTGTTAAGCCTCAGACAACTCTCTGAAGCTTATGTCTACCAAATTATATGTGGTTTGGAACATCAAAAAAAAATTGAAAGACAGTCCTACACCCACAGCATCACAGATCCTTGATTTACAGACATGGGTAGTATTATTACTTAAGAAAAATATTATATCTTCACTGTATAGTTCTTTAGAATCTATTAGGCTCCTCATACTTAGGAACATGGAGCTTAGTGATGGAATTCCTGTTTTCCACAGAACAGAGAGAAGATGGCTCATTATAATTATCAAAGGAGGAAAATACCTGGAAATCTGATATACCAATTAGTCTGACATAATAGTACAATTAAATTCAACAAACATTTATTAAGCAACTATGTACAAGGCATTTCTGCTAGGTACTGGGATAACTAATACTGTCTTTCTGTGATACTGGAAATGGAATATTGTCTAGAAAAAGAAACCAATCAGATTTTATTTCTAGTTTAACCAGTGATGTGAGGTATGATTTTAATAAAATTGTTTTTATATAACCTGTATTTCCCTTCCTGAAAACTAAAATAAGTTATCTCAGTAAGTCTTTCATGTGGAATAAGAGATGTAGAAAAACCTTATGTAAAAATATCCCCAATAAGTATATATAAAGAGTTGATTGAGTCTTCAAAATACACATTAAAATATTTTTGTGTTATTTCAAATCAATTCAGTAAGTATTTGTTGAACATTGTTATAAGCCTGGAACTATAGGTAATGTTAATGTTTAGGGTAAAGGGAAATACATGAATCTGTCTTCCCACCAAAACGGGGTGTGTGTGCATGCGTGTGTGTGTGCGTGCGTGTGTGCGTGCGTGCGTGTGTGTGTGTGTGTGTGTGTGTGTGTGTAAATAAAATCTGGTTGGGGAGATGAAAATCATGTAAACAAAGTAATTAGAAAACAAGTATAAGATACCTAAAATATCCCTAGTTCTCTTTTAGTGTCCATCACAACCTTGCTTCTGACATTGTGTCTAGTCTCTTCTAGGCTCATCCCATTAATAATTTAGACTTCTTTCTACATTGATGCATTTTGTATCATAGACCAAGTAAACATAGTCCATCTTTTGTAATCATCCCTTTCACCGATGACAGTGAGAATTGTTTTCTGTGAATCTAGGAATAATCTTTCTGAGCTTTGAAATTGCATTCACAGAGGAAATAATTTCTATTATCACTTTTCTTAGTAAGAGTAATATAACATGGTATTTGAGGCATGGACATGATTTTCCAGCAACTGTAACTTTACAGAAAGTCAGCTTACTCTAGACAGAGGCAAGAGACAACTGCTGTGTTTATTTTTTTTTTTTTTTTAAGTAGTAAATATAACTTTGGGAAACACAAACTTACAGCCTCCACACCCCTTCTGGAATGGTGGTATGATTTTCCAGAGGTTCATTTTTTGGTGAAAAATAAGGTTGTTTTCTCAGTGGTTTTATTCTTATTGCCAAAGAACCAGTCATCCAACTCTTTCTACATTAAGAGAGGAAATCTAGGTCCTACCACCTGTGTAGTACTGCTTAGTCTTTAAGAAAGCTTGGGAAACTAGTGACTTTGGCTCTCCGTGTGGAATGTCAAGTGAGCCACCTGCCTTTTGTACAGTGAAGGAAAAAAAAGAAGAGGAGTAGATTGAAATCCTGAAAGATCTATTATAAATAACATCACCTGCTAGTTATGTGCCTCCTACTGTACCACCAAGTTCATCCTTTTGTATCTTGCTCCCTGAACCCATAGCCCTTGTTTTTTCCTTTTCCTGTTAAGCAGCTGTTATAGAAATTTCTCTCCAAGATCTTCCCCTACCCTGTCACCCCTCGCATTTCCCCCCAGTTTTGCCATTCTGCTTACTACATTGTTCTGCGACATAAACCATACATTTCAAATTGGTCCAAATATACGCCTGGACCAAATTGATCCATATAAATTAGATCCTTTTTGTGGGGGGGGGGAGTAGACACTGAAAACCAACATTATTTTCAGGTCAAAAAAGGTAAATTTACTGTAGAGGAGGGAGCACAGAATGTGGCCTATATTTAGTCTTTATATACTTACACATGTACGTCGTTTCCTCTCATAGAATGAAGGCTCTTTGAGAACAGGGACTGTTCTGTTTTGTATTACTTTTGTATCCCCAACAACTAGCAGAGTACCTGATATATAGTAGGTGATTAATAAATATTTGTTGATCAATTGATTCATTTAGATCAGTGTCACAGATAATTTTTAAAGTACAGTAGACTTTATTGATGTCTGGCACAAGGACAGCACCTACATTATAGGTTTTCCTTGTTATACTAAGAGACACAAGCTGTACTCGCTATATAAATAATGGACATGGATCATCTTTTGTGGCTGATAAATAATTCTATTCAGTCATTTTCAGTCCTGTCCAACTCTTCATACCCCATTTGAGGTTTTCTTGGCAATGATACTGAAATGGTTTGCCCTTCCTTTCTTTAGCTCATTTTACAGATGAGGAAACTGAGGCAAACAGGGTAAGGTGACTTGCCCAGGGTCACATAACTAGTAAGTATCTGAGGCCAGATTTGAACTAAGGAAGATGAGTCTTCCTGACTCCAGGCCTAGCTCTCGATCCACTGCACCACCTAGTTGTACCTGAATAATTCTGTGTTGTAGTTTATTGTTTTATAGCTAAAACTACGTGCAGAAAGCTTTCCAGCATTCTTAAACTAAATACAATGATAAGTGGTTCAGGTAATTTGATTTTTTTTTTAAAGAAGTCATTATATCTCTTCTATTCTGTTCCTGTTCTACTGTAAAATAAGAAAACTATGTAAGAGTAGTAAGTTTTCATATTTTCCAGTGTATTTGCAGTTCAAAGAAGCTGTGCTATAAAATCAGGATTACTTTTGAAGCTCAACCTTTGGGTTAATAATCTCACATCTGACATACACTGACTCTTTGACCCTGGGCAAGTCCTTTAAGGTCCCAGGGTCCACAAAGTGCTTTCATTGTAATGTATAAGTTTAAATGAATAAATTATCTATGTTGTTTTTTTTCCCCAAGATGGAAAAAGTATGGCCACATCATCCAGATTCCTAAATTTTACTGTTTTGTTTACTTGTAATAAAACTGGTATTGTCCTCCTCACCTCCCCACACGTTACGTGTGGCTGCAGTGTTCATTGAGCAGCCGAATAAATCAACATTTAGTATTTTTTGTTTGTTTGTATCATACTACATCACAGGAGATCCCATAGGGTTTTCATAGATTCAGAGAATTACAACTGAAAGGAAATTTAGAGATCATCTTAACCTAACTTAGAGGTGGCACAGTAGATGGAGCACTAGGCCTGGAGTCCGGAGGAACTGAATTCAAATCCAGCCTTACATAAATTTACTAGTTGTGTGAACTTGAGCAAGTCACTGTTTACCTCAGTTTCTTCCACTGTATAGTGGGGATAGTAATAGCACCTGCCTCTCTGGATTGTAAGGATCAAATGAGAGTGTTTGTAAAGCACTTAGCATAATACCTAGCACATAATAGGCACTGTATAAATACTAGCTATTTTTATCTAGTAAAACCACTCTATTTTACCAATGAGGAAATAGAGGCTTAGAGATGTTAAATGGATTTCCCAAGGTTGCACAGTTAACAATGGCCAAGCTACTTGGAAAGTCAGCCTAAATGGTAGCACTAGGCAAAATTTAGTAACTTTTGAAAAATATGTTCCCAGTTTTAAAAGTGAAACATAAAAATCAAAAGTCATCATTCATATTCTTTAAATATCTCTTGATTCTTTTTATACACCTAGAGATTTGATCCTAGGCAAAATACCTCTGGTAAATGGCTGCCTATGCTAATTACTTCTGCAATTTAAATTTGGTTTAATATTTTTTTTTACCACCCTAAACTGCTGTGTAGTATTTCTGTGTGCTATTAAATACTTGTCGCATTCATTCCTAATGGTAAATCAGATTATCTACCTTATGAGTCAAGTACTCATTTTTAAAATATTTTAGATGCTTTGTAACCTTTTTGAACTATTTTTAATTCTTTGAAGTCTTTGATGTTAGGAAAACTACTAGTGTTTTTTAATTATTTGCTTTCTTCATTTAAAAATGACCCAAATTTAAGCACAAACCAATTGGATTTTCAAATTAAAGATTAAACAGATGTCAGATTTATCATTTATAGCACTTGCCTTTCACCTATTTTTAAAATGTGGAAATTACTATTCTAAGTTTTGATTTGTTTTAGTTGAACTTTACTGTTAGCTTTCATATCCAGCTCATTGAAGCAGCATCCTGTTATTCATTGAGTAATGTATCTTTTCAAGTATAAAGGATACTTAGGCAATTTATGGATTGAGTTTAACTTGTTATAACCTTTCCTGTGGTCTTAAATTAGTAAAGACAAAATTGGAAACTGGTGACAAAAATATCAGCTTCGTTCCCTAGTTTCATAGATGTAGGAACTCTGAAAGAGGACAACTGTATGGTTAATATGAAAGAGACAGGTCCTGAGGCAGATGAGAAGTGGAAGAAAATTTCTTAAGTAGGAAAATATATTTTCAAAATGGCCTTAAACTTCAGAAGTACGATGGTTTATGTTAAGTATTGAATATAGGATTATTAGCCTTACTAGGTTTGATCACATTTTAAGAGTTTTCTGCATCTTCATCCATTCACTTATTTCCATTGGAATATTTTCTGAACCTCTTTGTGGCTTTTTTCCCTTTGTTTTGATTAAGTTTACTATCTCATACATTTACCTCATTGTCATGGGTCGCAAATATTTATTCCTGTATTTTTCTCTTCTTTAGAAATCCTGTAGTGTAAATTGAACTGATTCTTTGCCTGATTTCCCTTCAAAAGACCACTGAAAATAGTTAGTGCCAGATAGATAGATAAATGGATGGATGGATGGATGGATGGATGGATGGATGGATGGATGGATGGATAGATGGATGTAAGCATCTGTTAGAAAAGATAAACTACAATCACATCAATACAACATTCCCTATTAGTCATTAAGATCTTTAATAGCTTAGCTCATCTTTAATAATTTTTTTTTTAAAAGCTAAACAGGACTTGGAATCTATTTCAGAATACCTAAATTTGATTTCTTTGGAACATTACTTCAAAGAGGGTGCCAAAGTAGGAGATGCTACCAGAAATAACTGAAATTGTTGTTTTCTGTTTTATTAATTTAAGGTAACATAATACACTGGAAAGAGCAGTAGATTTGGAGGAGAGGCTCCTGGATTCTATTCTGGTCCTTGCTCTACCATGCATTACCTTTGTGACTTTGGTCAAGTCAATTACCTGTTAGGCCTCAGTTTTCTCATTTTTAAAATAAAAGGGTTGGACTGGTTGACCATTAAGGTCCCTTCCAACCCTAAATCTGTAGTGTTGTGAGCCTGAGATAAAACATCAGTGACATGCTAATGCATCACAAATTCTGTGAAGAAATAAAAGATGTCTTTCTGTTTTAGATTTGCCAGTCTACTGACATTTGTGGTAGACCAAAAACCTTATAAACCTTATTTTATTACATTTTCATTTCACCTATCTACATTCTTTCTTGTTTCTAACAGTTTTAAACTATTTCACTTACACACATCAAGCAAAAAAATAAAAAAATCTTATTTTTCATTAACACTCAGTATTCAATTTCGGTAAAACTCAGTATTCAATCATACTTCTTTGCATAGGTGATTTTGCCTGGAAATGTTATGGTATCCTTTTTTCAGAATCATGATGGGTTTTTTTTTTGTTTTTTTCACCACCTTTCATTTCTTCATATACAGGTGAGTAGTAGGTCATCCAGTCCTAGTGTCAGAATGATCACTACCTCAGGACCAACTTCTGAAAAGCCAACAAGGAGCCATCCCTGGACTCCCGATGATTCCACAGGTGACGTGTTGATCATTTCTCATTTTAAATAGGCTGTATGTAAGGGATTCTGTTTTACATTTATGTACAGTTAATGATATCAGTCATTTATTTAGCACCTACTCTGTGTCAGGTACTTTGCTAAGAAAAGGGGGTACAAAAAGAATCAAATGACAGCCCCTGTCCTCACGGAGCTTACAGTCTAACAAGCAATCATATTTACAACAAAATTAATAGGAAGTAAATGAGAGAGGGAAGGCATTAGAATTAAGAGGGTTGTTAAGAAAGGCTTCCTATAGAAGCTGAGATTTTAATTGGGATTTAAAGAAAGCCGGTAGGCACAAATAAGCAGGGAGAACATTCTAAGACTGGGGGGCAACCAGAAAAAATGCCCAGAGCCAGAAGATGGAGTGCCCTGTTTGTCAGATGGCAAGGAGGCTAGTATCACTAAAGAGTGCATGGTAGGGAGTAAGGTGTGAGAGGACTAGAAAGGTAGGAGGCTGGGTTATGAAGGACTTTGAATACCAAACAGAGCATTTTGTTTTTAATCCTGGAGGCAAAAGGGAGCCAGTGGGTTTTACTGAGTAGGGGATACGACATGATTGGACCTGTGCTTTAGGAAAATCACTGTACTGACTGCATAGAGGGTGAATTAGAATGGGAAGAGATGAGATAGGTAGACTCACTAGCAGGCTATTGCAGTAGTCCAAAATTAAAGTGACGAGGGGCTGCAACTGGGGTGGCATTGGTAGAGGAGAGAAGGGCGTATATTTGAGAGATGTTACAAAGGTGAAATCAACAGGCCTTGGCAACAGATTGGATATTATGGAGGGTGAGAGATAGTGAGGGGTGGAGGATAATTCCTAGGTTGTGAACATGAAGGGAGGATGGTGTTAACTTCTAAAATAATAGGGAAGGTATGAGATAGGGAGAGTTTTAGAGGGAAAGATGAATGTCTGTTGGTAGAATCCTTACAAAGGCAAGATAATATTTAAATTGTTCAAGTAGCCAGTAGGCGCATATACCTCAGCAGTAGTCAAAGGGAAAACTGGACTTATGAACACAGGTTTGCCTTCTGTATTTTTGTTTTCCTAGGTTTGGGTATTTTTCCTGATAGGAGGCATATAATTTGAGGAAGAGGTGTTGGGTAGTAGTTGAATGTTTTTTTTTGGTAATTGGTTTTTGTTTTGTTTTCAGTAAAAGAAATATCATTCAGATAATATGTGTGTGTAGTTTTTCCTTTCTCATCACACTTCTGCTTGATAGCAGTAGAGAACCAGAATCATTTAACTAGCTACTTTATATGCTAAACTAATATAGTAGAGGAGGGGGAAGAGGTCACCTTGACCTTTACCTGCAAGGCTATAAATTAAATGGTGTCATGGATAGAGTGCTGAAGTTGGAGTCAGGAAGACCTACATTCAAATCCTGCCTTTGATACTTACTGGGTTATATGACTGTGGGCAAGTCCCTTAACCTCTCTGAACCCGTTTTCCTCATCTCTGAAGAGAGGGTATTGGCCTTTAAAGTACCTTGCAGCGCAGAATATGATGATTGCAATCCTACCATGTAACCAAAAAAAAAAAAAAAAAAAACACTCAGTTACATCCTTTCTTGGTCATGAATCCTGAAGCCTTTCTAATCCAAAGCAGGTAACTAATTTAATACATTGTGAGATATATTTTACAAAACATACTCCTTATAGGCAAAAGAAGTCCTGTCACATAGTGAACACGTTCACAGATATAGGCTTTAAAATCAGCATGTCACATTGGACTTCAGAATAATGCGCTTCATTAAAAAATAACTCTAAAATTTTATCACAGTCACAACTAAGTTAACTATGGCCCAAGGCAAAGAAGACGTGTTTTAGAGTGTTCTGTTATGTCATTATAAGCATCATCTTAGGTGAAGAACAAGAATAAGAATATTAATATCCCTCACTACAGAGTGACGTACAGTTTTTTGTTTTTAGGAAGTTGGGGTTAAGTGACTTGCCCAGGGTCATACAACTAGTACGTGTCAAGTGTTTGGTCTGAGGCTAGATTTGAACTCAGATCCTCCTGACTTCAGGGGTGGTACTCTATCCACTGCACCACCTAGCTGCCCCTTGCGGTACAGTTTTCAAAACACTTTGATGCACATTTGTAACTGTGTCATGTCTGGTAAGGAAGCACCAGCGGCTTGAGTGGCACATAGCACTAGAGAGGGTGCTGGTTTGGGAGTCAGAACATCTGAGGTGGAATTCTATCTACTACTTTCTTTTATCTGGGTGACCACAGGCAGGCCACCCTCCCTCTTTGAGCCTCAGTTTCCTCACCTTAAAAATAAAAGAATTAAACCACAAGACCTCTAAAGTCACTTCAGCTCTAAATCTGTGAGCTTAAGTGTCCTTAGACATTTGAAAATTTATGTGAGACCAAGCGTATTTTGTAAGTGATGAATGGGAGTTTGCAAGTCACAAGCACATTCCCATTCATCTTTACAGAAGTAAACCACTATCTTTATATGGTAATAGATATTTGGCATGCTTTAGTCATGTTTATAATTTAATTAAAACTGAACTGGGCCACTTCTCTTCTCATGTGTGTCATGTAGGATAGCATTATATTTAACAATGGGCGTGCTCACTGGTTTTAGTTAGTTTAAATTTAGTGGTAGCTTCTTCACTCCTAGAAGATCACAGCCCAAAATGGTCCAATACATTTACCACTAACTACATGTGCCAAATATATCACCAACCTGTGGCAAAGTGATGCTCCCTCAACCTCCAGCAATGGTAGAAAAACTAGGAAGCCTAGTTTTCATGTAACATAAATGTGTGCATTAAAAAATTCTAGCTCTCCCTGCTTGGTTCCTCAGACCTCAGATAAAGAAAGACTTTTCCCTTACTATCAGTATATGTTTCTCCTATGAGAGATAAGTCCTAGGAGCAGGCAAATTAAGGCTCTGCATAGAATTTAGCATATAATACCTGTTAAAATTTGATAGAACTTTTTGTAAATGCCTGTTTTATCTTCCAAGAAATATCACTCAGTAACATACACAAAGTTCTGTGATGTAAGTTATATTTAATACAGTTGAGTTTCAGAAGCTCCTCCAGAGGAAGGTAACACCTAGGGATACAATTTTCAGACCTTGGCCAAGGCTCACAAATTCTTTGTCCTGTAGCAATTTGACATCCAACTTAACCTTGTCTCCCTTCCCAGCCTGAACCAACACTCAGCTTGACAAGCATGTGGCAGATTGTAAACTTATGTTAAAGTGTTAGAATTCTACTGGACAAAAGTGACCTCACACCTATTTTTTTTTCTACTTGATGGCTTTTTTGCCCCTCTCCTCTTGCCTATGGCATCAGAGATAACCAATGATAATCAAAAATCTGATAGGCCAGGGGAAATTAAATTTCACTAATATCTGCTAGATTGCCCTTGTCTTGTTGATACTTTATAATTGTGCTGTTACAATCTCTTTTTTTGGTCAATATTGTCAAGCAATAAGTAAATAATCTAAAATCTCATGAATTCACACTGCTAACTTGGAATTTGTAATTGTTCACAATGTTAAAGTTTGCCTCTATAAAGTCACGGCTTGCACAGCAAATTAATTATATAAATAAGATGGCAAGTCATAAGGGTAAGGAACCTTTTTTTTTTAATTGAGGAACGTTGACTTCAGAAGTAAAAAGAAAATTTACTAGGTTGTTTTTGCAAGTGAGAAACATTTTCTTTTTCATTTAGGAAGGGGGAACATGCAACTCTTTTTGATAAATACAGCAACTAAAGAACCCTATATTAGGGTCTAATTAAGTTGGAGGGAGTAGAAGAAAGAAAATGAGAAAGAAACACAGAAAGAGAGAAGAATGAAAGACACTTCTGATATTGAGATGAAAAGACATAAAGAAAAAATAAAAGACATAAAGAAAAAATGTGTTCATTACTCCCTTAGGCATTTCAATTAATGCAGAATTACAAAACATAGTCTCTAAGTTAAAATGTGTCTGGGGGGACCAATAGCAGTGTATGACGATGTACAAAGAGGTGTTAATGCTGTAACAAAGACTGTAAGTGCTAGAAGGATTCAGAGAGAGGAGGTATCAGTGAAAACTGAAGGGGAAGAACTTAAGTAAAAGCACAGAAATGAAAATGATAGGTTTCATTTAAATGCCTACTATATGCAGAGCCCTGTGTCATACATGTACTGAAAGAGATATTAGGTTTAGAGAGCTGTAGTAAACAATATGATATGATAAATGCATTAGTAGCAAAACAAGATGCTCCCTGAGGTCTGAGTGAAATGACAGACCAGGATTCTGGGAAGGCCTTTGTACTTGAAAGTCAGCAGGAAATAGAATCCAGATTGTGGGTTGAGAGATTAGTGTTAGTGAGGAAGAAGGATGCTCCTCCTCTTTCCACAGGAAAGAATGGATGTGAAGAGGCTGAGGTTTGGGGAATGGAGGAGAGCTGAGGAAGTTTATATTAGATTGCTCCAGCATCCTCAGTGAACAGCTTTGATTTCTGCTGTAAATATTGAAGATGAAGATTTTGGGGGGGGGGGTCAGGAGGAAGGATAGAGAGTCAGATAAAGACAGAAGGATTGTAGAGTCACAACAAAAGTTCCCACTGAAGTTTATATACCAATAAGTTTTTAAACCAGCCTGGTTTCTACACTTAATTTCTCCAGTGAATCTCGGAAGCACCTGAGCAAAAGCAGAAAAACAAATTGTATGAGGAGGGTAACCCAGAGAGGAAGTTTTTCAAATCAACGTGACAAGTGATTTTGTGGTTGCAGCCACTAAAACATTAAAGTGTCCGATCGTGTGATCAAGGCTAGGTAGGGAGGTGATTAAAGCCAAGTAGGAATGATGAACTGAGAGGGGCAACGAAAGGATCCCAGAAGGCATGCATGGTAAATAGTAGATTTAGTGTGACTAAGGGAATAGGAAAGGTGAGAGTGGAATTTAAAAGTTAAGACCCTGCAAAGTGGAGTAATTCACATAGTGAGTAAGGTCTAATGTTTCACCAGTTTCAGAATGGAGTAGGAAAAGGTTGTTAATATTGGAAAGATTGAAAAATGATGGGATTAAAGGGATCATGAGTATGAATCCTGAAGTCTCTGAGGGTGGCAATGAATGAGTTGGAGAGGAAAACCATCAGCCAGCAACTAAAGTCAGTAAGAAAATTGGGAGGGTGACTTGGAGATAGGAAGATAACAAAATCAAAGGTAGGGAGGGAGATTGTGGAAGAGACCCTGGCTAGAGGAAAGCAGTAGTAAATTAAATTGGATATGTAGAGCAGAACCAGATCACAAACAGCCTTAAAAGGCAGACAGAGGGATTTAGACTTGCTGTAGTGGGCAGTAGAGAGACCAACATATTCATGGATTAACTTAACTAATATTGGGATAATTTGTTAGGGATCGGGATAAGAACTGAACCTGTGGTTTCAGGAGTATTGGGAAAACCAAGTGAGAAAATATCCCTCTACCAATGCCAGTGGGAACGTTAGTTGCCCAGAGCAGAGGAATCAAACTGGCTGGCCTATGAAGTCCACAAAACTTCCAGTGCTGCCAGAACCAGACTAAAATGTAATTGGGGAGCATTTAAAAACATAACAATGTTAATTTGTGGTTTTCTAAATCAGTATGTGGCCAGTAGAGATCCATTTTCTCTGAGTTTGATACCTCTGGCCCAGAGCACTAGATATCAAGGGACTTGCTCAGGATCACCCAGCTAGACTGGGTCAGAGGCAGGACCCAAAGCTTCCTGGTGTCAAGGCAGCTCTCTAGACACTGCTGTGTCTTTCTTACTATTTGTTATATTACTGAAAACTAAACATGTTTTGCTTGTACAACTGTAGGCGTAATTGAAATACTTCTTGCCCAACAGGAAGGCAAATCAGCCAGTTGAAATTGAGCTCTAAGTCTCAAGTTCCCCATGCCTGGGCTAAATATGTTAAGTAGATATTCAAAACAACTGTTTGGTTCAAGTACTCAAGCATTGTAGAAACACATACTAATTATTCATATATTTTCATTAAAGCAACTTCCTTGGAGACCTCTGCAAGGCACTAATACTTTGTTAGCCCATGCCTACAGACTAGGATGTACATAAAAGGAATAAAATGCCTTTTTTTTTAAGGGCTCTATAAATTTAGGTTAATTCAGGCTGGCTTTCTTTGCCTTCAGTTTCCCTTCTTCTACCCCTCTCTTTCCCCTCTTCCCCCAAATCAGTCTGAATTTGGTAGTTTTTACTTTATTTACTAAAAAAAATTTTTTTAAAAATATAAATTATCTTGTTTATTATAAACTTAAACATCAACAAACATAAACATTTCAATATACAAAGAAGAACAGAAAAGTGTATTGCATATGAAACCTGTAGAATGATTCATCACAGCTAAAGAACTCTTCAGATCCTAGGGAGGCAAGATAGAAAACAGCAGGAAGCAGCAGATTAGGAGGTCACTGAGCCATGAGCCTGTCTGTGTAGATTGAATACTGTGTCTCAGCTATCCTTCTGGCCTTGTCTTCATTTCTAGCATTCCTAGGGGAGTACTAATCAGTAAAATGCTAGCAGCTCACCGAGTGCTGTTAAAATTTCTAATGTCATTCCACCATGCTTTTCTCCCCAGTACGTTCAAACTGTTTTTAGCAGAACTTACTAGAGGATTAATGCAACCAAATTGACCAGTTAGTTCACTGTGTAAGGCATAGCCTTAAGTAAGCCTGATATAAAGGGGAAATGAGAGAAGACAGGATTTGGCTAGGTAGGACTTGTTTGGACCAGAGTTTAAAGCACCTAGTTGTCAAGTATGCCAAAAGGGAGAATCTTTGATTATTTGATGATGGTCCCAGGCTGTTTTAATAGTGCTGTAGTTGTCAACCAACTTAATGCTAGGGTATCAGAGCATGATTTTAAGAAAAATATCTGATAAATCCACATCTCATTTTATTTAGCCTTTATACAAACATTTTATTGGCCATCCTATAATGGCCAGGTTTTTTTATTTATGATCGTTTTGGATAATTATTAATATTACATTATTTCATGTGGAAAATTATAAAATCCCAAGCATACTTCTCAATTTCTTTATGTAGTTATCTCTGTCATAAAGTTTAAAAAATGTAAATGCTTGAATTCTAGATACTAATGGATCAGATAATTCCATCCCAATGGCCTACCTTACGCTGGATCACCAACTACAGGTAACATGTTTCCTTGCTGAATACTCTTTAACTTTAACTCAATACTCTTACTAAAAAGATTTCTCTTTAGAGATGATAACTGTGTTCTCTTTAGAATTGATGACTGGCCTGTTTTTGCTTTTGAATAAAGTTACAGTAAATTGCTTTTTAGTTTGGGTAATCATATGAGAAATGTTCAGATTGATGTGTTCTTATATTTCGTTATTCATTTTAAGGGACTGTTATATCTTTATTCACAATTATTTAGCATAACATTTTTATTCTTTAAGCTCAGCACATTAAAACATAGCAGTTATGTGAGTTACTTCTTTATTATTTGACATACTCTGCAATCCATTTTGATGTTAATGGTGGCTGAATATATAAATAATAACAAGGTTCAGTGCCTCTGCATGTGATTATGTGAGCTATAAACATCTTTTGGTATAATACAAATAATTTGGCAACCTGAAATTTAATACCCTTAGCTAAGAGAGCTTTAGTCATGGTTCTGTGTAACAAAGAAAGTGTTAAAACAGCAAGTGTAAATTTAAGTTCTGAGTTAACCCTGGCAGGAGTGCACTGAGATTTTCCAGGACATGGTTTAGCACTTATTTTTAAAAGCTTACTGGTTTGTGCAACCTGGTACTGGATAAATATATTGCAGTCACAGTCCAGCTAGCTAGATTAGATAATGAGATTTCATTTGATTATGTTTTAACATGTCTGATTTATTTTCAGCCGCTAGCACCGTGCCCAAACTCCAAAGAATCTATGGCTGTGTTTGAACAGCATTGTAAAATGGCCCAAGAATATATGAAAGTTCAAACAGAAATAGCATTACTGTTGCAGAGAAAGTAAGTAAACTCTTCATCAACCCTGTCAATATTCATGCATAGAGATTTTTAACATGTTTTTGAAGTACATTGAAAGTTTAGGGTAATATTTTTTGCAAAAATGAAGATTAACATGTCTTCAGAGTTAATAACTATGTTCCTAACCTCAATCCCTCATTGATATCCATATTCCAAAGTTTAAATATACTGCTGACTATTTGCAGGGGTCGCTGTATCTCTGAATGAGCCATTTGGGTTGCTTATAAATATACCACTTTAGGTGCACCAGTGCTACTATTACAGCTCTTGTTTCCTGCACTTAAAACTTTTAAAGTTAAAATACTACTGAAAGACTTAATCACACAAAAAGGTTTTCTCATGTAAGTAAACTATTTCAAGAGACTCATGCTTGGTATTTTATTATTATTACTAGGAAGATGATGATTTTTAGGGCCAGATTTGTAATTTTATTGCATTAGGGAACTCCTAGGGAGGAAATTGCTTCTTCCAATACAGATCAGCATCTGCACGGTGATTTTATAGTCTTAGAAAGATGCATAGGGCAGTGCTGTCAAACGCTAATAGAAACAGGGGACAAACAGTGAACTATACGTAAAGATCCCTGAGGGTGCACATTGACTTAGATAACTATATATTAGCATTATTTATATTTTGTTATGTTTTTTGGTTAAATATTTCCCAATTATGCTTTAACCTGCTTTGGGCCTCTCTCAGGAGTGTTGTGGGCTGCATGTTGGACCTCTGGCCTATGGTGCTGAGAGGCTAAATAACTTCCCCAGGTCACACAGCCGGTATGGGTCAGAGGCAAGATTTTTTAACACAGGTGTTCCTGACTCCAAAGCCATCATCTGTCTATATGCTGTGCTACAGTACCTCTCCTTTATTATTTTAGAAGTATAACATTCACAGAAATGTTTTAAAAAGAACAACAACCCTCCAGCGTACATTTGGGAAAGTCATATTATTCTGACGTTACAAGATGCCCATAAGTATACTTGTTCCGCCCAAATCAAGTTCAGTTCCCATATTCTTTCTTTTGTACTTCTTTTCCATTTTAGACATTTCTACAATTATATTCCTCTTAGTCTTTAACTTGACCCTCAGGAAATGCATGTTTAATCATGACCAAATTGGTGCTGCTGGGGTCACTAAAATAAAATCCAGAGAAAGAAATATTATCCGAAGAAATATGCTGAAAATTAGTGTAAATTGTCTCAATTTTGGTGTAGGGATAAATTGAAAACTGAATGATACTATCTCAATGAAGTGAAGTAACTTGTTATAAGTGACTTCTTGTTGTAACTTGTTATTTTGAGGGTTGGGCCTCTCTGAATTTTGATAAATTATTATTATATATAAATATTATGTATTACCCCCTGGCATACTCAACTGGTGTAGTTGTTATAAAAAAAAATTTGAACAAAGTATTGCCTGTTGAAGGTGGGGTTAGATATGAGATGAACCATTCTAGAAATCTTAGCTCAAAAAAATGAAACTGCTGACGCTTGATGTTTATAATTTTGTTGACAAGTTTTAAGTTACCAAATTAAGTAAATTTTTCATGCAAGAGGAAACATTGAGAAAAATCCTAAACAAGGAGGGAAAGGTATTTTACCGGATTTAAAATACTTGATGTTTTCATTTTAAATTCTTTTTTAAAAAACTAATTCTACTTGAGAATTTTATAGTAATTGTTTCTCTCCCCACCCCAAGTTCTAACATACTCACTTTATAATCTAAAGTCCCTCAATTTTAAAAGATTTCCATAAAAACAAGCTCTCTAAACTCAAGCTCTGCCAAGGTCTATGATTAGGTCTTTTCTGAAAATATACACAGAATCAAGTAATATAATCCAAATGTGTTATTATGGGGGGCTTACCTGTAATAATCCAAAGTAGGTCCAGTGTTTCCAGCAAAGTAGTATATTCTAAAACAGGAAAGGGATTTATGTTTGATAGCATCTATTTCAATTAAGTGGCTGGAACTGTCTTATCTACATCTTTGGCTGAGCTGCATATAATTAAATATGATTGTGACTTCATAGCATGAATATTGAAGTGAATTTGTATGATGAAACCAAGCACCCTGTTCTCCTCACCCACTAGTACCACAAAAAATAACCTTTCTCTGGCCTGGCCAGTCCTTCCCTGACTGAATAAAAAGGATATAAGAGGTGGTAAGGTTGATCAGACGTGATATTCTGATTTTTGTTACTGTTTTAGTTATTGCTGTGCCTCGCGTTTATCATCTCTAAATATTCAAATTGTAGAAGTGCAGTTATTTAAGAAAGGATTGTTATTTATGTAGTTATATTAGGATTATGAAATGATAAAATAGTTTTAGAAGATCCTTTCCATCCCACTACATTATGATTGTATTATTTGAACAGTCTGCTTGGCATATGTCATGATGAACCAGAATTAAAGTTTTAATTGCTTGAACTACCAGTTAGCAACAAATACTATATAAATTCTTCCATCATAATTAACATTCTATTATGTGGTATAATTTTTAGGCAAGAACTAGTAGCAGAACTGGACCAGGATGAAAAAGACCAGCAAAATACATCTCGTCTGGTACAAGAACATAAAAAACTTTTAGATGAAAATAAAAGTCTTTCTACATACTACCAGCAATGCAAAAAACAATTAGAGGTCATCAGAAGTCAACAACAAAAACGACAAGGCACTTCATGATTCCCTGGGACCTTGGATTTGAAAATCATGCACAGAAAGACTTTTTTTTTTTTGAGGGGGGAGGGGGAACATTAATACTTATAATTCATGAGTGTTAGCTTCTTGATGTGTTCTAAATGCCTACTCCCTATATTTGCTGCATTTGTTACATCATTTATTTTCCTATTCTTCTGGTGGACCGGCAGTTCAACAGTCCTGTTGAATAACATGGAACATCCATGACTTGAATAAGCAGCAGAACTTAGCATTAAGGCAGATACAGTGAACCATGACTGTGCATGCATGCTTATTGTGTCAAGGCTAGCCTGACAGAAAGAGGAGGTGGGTTAAAATGGCTGCTATATGCAACATCTTCTTGGTTTTCATATTAGCATGTTACCTCAGTAAGAACAAAACAAAAACTTGGAGAATAGTTTTGTTCTTGTATCTCATCTCAAGCAAATTCAAAGTATCATTTTTAGATGAAAAGAAGCATGTCCCAAGTTTAAAGACAAAGTGCTGTCCTAAAATAATTGGTGATACATTGCAGAGACAGTTAATCCATAGGCATGATGTAAAATGGAAGGCAATCTGATGCCAATATCCCTGCCTTAGTGATTTCCTTCCATAAGATTTTTGGAGATAAGTAAGCAGCTATTGCTTCATTTTAGAAAAGGAGCAGTTTTGGCCTTGTCTTACTGAACTGCAATTTGATGGCGATACTGTAAGTAAAATGTCTCTCTCTTTTTTAAATGTTTTTAATTAATTATGATTGTGTGTATGCATGAGTCGAAACCTAAGAAGTTTTGTGCCTCTCATATTTCTTAAATGAAACTAAAAGGCTAATGAAAATGATCCATCTTAAATGATCATTCTTTCCACAGTAATATTTGCCTGGTTTTATACTACATATTCAAAAATCTATGGAAAAAGAAGCAGGATTCCTCACAGATGCAATGAGTTGTTCTGGCTTGAAAGACTTGGATTTGGTAGAGAATCCACTAAATAAGGAATAAAAGCTAGAAAATCAGGAGGGTCAAGTCAGGAAGTAAAAAGCAAACAATATCAGATCATCAAGCACTCTCCATATTCCAGTGCTGTGAGTGATGCCGGCTCGAAGCAAGCCTATCCTAGAGTGAATGCCTGCCACTGCCTCTTTGCCTGCAAAAAGAAGGAGCCACACTTCATCGCTAGAAATGGAGAGAGAGAGAGAGAGAGAGAGAAAGAGTGTGTGTGTGTGTGTGTGTGTGTGTGTGTGTGTCTCTATATCCTTCATTGCCCACAATCATGTGGATAGAAATAACTTTAAAGTAGTAATAAAAGATCATGGAGCACTTAGAATTTCTATAGCCTGGTAATATCTTTTCAGCTGACATAAAGTCAGTCCCAGTGGATAAAGTGTTATTCTCAAATTTTGAAAGCCTTTATATTTTCCAAGGAAAAAAATTTTAAAGGAACAGGTTGCTGTGTCATCAAAATGCCAAAAAAGACAATTGAAACTTTTATGGGGGGTGTTTAGTTCTTTGGCTGTATTTCAGATGAGCATTTAGTCTTAATATTAGAACTGTTGATTAAAATATGAGTCATAAAAAAGACATTTTTTCTTCCATTTTCTCTTCCCACTAAGCTTCATGGTATGTGTTTTTGTGTGTCCATGTGGGTTTATGTGCACAGGCATTTATTTCTATGTATTTGAGAGAAATAATAGCTATTATAAAGATGAAGGATGATTTGTTACTAAGGTCATTTTTAGCTTTAATCTATTATTGGGAAGTCTCTGGAAGCTAAAATTTTCATTTTTTTAAATAAAGGGAGGGTTATCATTCCCAAATAATTTGATTAGCTAGCTGAAACTGATATTGGGATCAACTTAAGGGCACACATATTTATAGCAAAATGTAATTGGCAGAGAAAATAACTGTAGAATTATGAATAGCACAGTTATCCAAAGCATTGCTGCTTTCATCCATCTGTCAATCTACTGAAATGGACTCAGTCCATGATCAGTGATTTTCATAACATGTTTCAAAGCATGATGCTTAGCAGCATGGATGTGAAGGCATGATTTCACCTGCATGTTTAATAATTGCAGATGTTAAATCATATTTCAGGATATCCACTGGTTATTGCTGTTACTACCCATATTTAAAAGGGGAAATGGAAGTTCTTTAGCTTATGTGAAGGTCATGCTAATTTGAAGACATGGTACATAGTTCAAATGGCCATTTAGAGCAGTTGCTTCTTTGTTTACAGTCAACTCGTATTTTTTAAGTACTGTAGTTCTCCTATACATTGAGTGAAATTCACCTTGTTTAGTTTTTAAGTAGTTTGTATTGCCAGTCTAAAGTTATGTGTGTTTATTTTTTTGTTTTGTTTTCATTTTTTAACAAGGGAGTAAAGACAATGACTAATTATCCTTGGTGATGGGGAACAGGGGTAGGTGGCATGAGTCATTTGAATCCCTAAATAATCCCCAAACTTCATGTTAACCAATTTCTTCAACACACTCTCACTTCAACCTCCTAAACGGAGTTTTATCAAGAAGCCAAATTTAATTAACTCTACATTTTACCTTCTTGCCTTGACCATCATAGATGGGCAGTGTTGAGAAGGAAGGAAAGCAAGAATTCTAGGTGATCCACCAACTAAATAATCAACCCTTGATAACTAAAAGTTGGTTCTACCTATGTAACATTTGCCTACCTTAAAAAGACCTTTGAAGAAAAATGTTTTGTTTTCTCTAAGATCTATGCAGTAGCAATGACTTTTTTGAGTCAAACAAAAAATCAACCACCAGTATTTTCCTTATAGCACCATTAGCATGTTCTGAAGGCTTTTATTATACAGTTGTTTACAAATGTCGTACTTGTCTTTTTTGTTAAAATATTTTGGCGTGTTGACTATTTTCCATGTTACTCTTATGTTCCTAATTAAAGTTATCCCTCCATATATTCATAGAGGTGAAGCATCTATTTTTTTCTCTTCCTCTTCCCCCTTTTTAAAATTCTGACTTTCACCTCCTTGTTTTTTGCCTTAAAAAGTTGATGAATTCTGCTTATATCATTCAGAATTTTTATGTAAGATATTGTGTAATGCCAGTATGCTTCTGTATTCTATGTGATTCTAACACCCCAAAATGCTTTTTTAGATTTATTTTTGTTTTTGATGAAAAATTGAAGATTGTAATTCAAAACTTGTATATAAAATGGCAGATGATTTCATATGATAGAGGAATGAGCTGTGTGGCTTTCTGCTGCAACAGTGTATTTACCTTATACAAAATCTAATAAAAATTGAAAATTTTCAGTATCCTTGTAACATCCCTACACTAACTTATTGTTTAGAGAAGATCTGTGTTTGGGGGCGGGGATTAGAAGCTATTATTTGTATTTCCTATTCTAGTTCAAGATTGTTTTAAGTCAACGGATTTTGTCTTTTTAATAACCCCTGTGAATCATGAATGAATGATTGACTGTTTTCTTTGTCTCTGGATGGCCATTTTCTTAATAGGAAAACTGCTTTTCTGTGCCATCAGATGCTTCCATCAGACTTTTCAACAAATCCAATCATAATATCCATCCTATTTTCTCCTAATTTCCACACCAGTCCTATCCCCATCATATACATAACATGTCTTAACATTCATATCTGTTTCTTCTCTTTCTACCCCATACATTCTTATAAGGCCTCTTTAGCCTTCTTTAGCAAATCCATTCAGAGTGGCCTCTTGGCTATTTGGCATAATGCCAAGTTGGTGTTCAGTCCACTTCAATCAAGCATTTTAGTCTGTTGAACAGCTGCACCCTTCAGAATCACTTCAACCTTCTGCTTTTTCTCTTTTAGGTAAAACTTCTCCTTGTATCTTACACTAGGATCACACACACACACAAATCTACCATTAAATTGATTTATTGACTAAGAATGGCAACCTTGTGCACTAAATGATGATGAAATGCTGTTACTAGAAGATACTGGAATACCTTTTAAGTTTTTACCCAAATGTTGTCCTTTGTTTTTTTTTTTTAAAAAAAGACAGGGATTTTAAAATTAAACCTTTTTTAGTCTTTATCATTTTAAAGCAATTTAAAAATAGTTAGTGTCTCTAAAAGGAGACATTTTTGCCAAAAGATGCAGACATGTTTGCGAGACCTGGTAGTTCATATGGAAATGAGACATTTTATCAATATCTGAGGATATTTAAAATAGTCCTTGATTCTATAAAGCATAGAGTGGCAGGATTTTTTTTTTTTTTAGCATTTCCTTATTGGAAATCATTTTGTTTATCTCTTCATTTTGAAGGTGAGGAAACAGAGGTCCAAGGAGATTAGCTACATGATTTTGTGCAGGTCACTTAATTAATGGGAAACTTGAGACTAGAACCCAGGTGTCCAGACTCCCAGTGCAGTATAAATTGTTAATACTTCACACAGCATTCTTTGCTTTTGATATGCTACACAAAGGCTAGTTGAACCTCATCATCTGTGGTAAGGTAAATATACACATCAGTTTTTTGACCAAAGAAAAGTAAAGTTGGTGGTACAATGCAAGTTTCCTAGTAGAGAATAATAAATTCAATAAGCATCAAAGTTTCTGTCTGCTCTGTCCAGAGCTCTGTGCTAGGCATGGAGAGTGGGGTGAGAAGTTTGCAAGGTTCAGATAGGATAATCCTTGACCTCATGGAGCCTGTAGTCTTGTAGATAAGAACACAATTATAATTCATAATATTGAGTTGCAGAACAGTCTGAAAATGAGTGGGGGTATTAAATAATTGTTTATAGGAACTTGGAGCTAGAAGGGATATTTGAGGTTGTCTAACCCCCTCATTTACATTTGAGGAAACAGATCCGGAGAGGTTGACTTGTCCAGATTGAAGTGGTAGTATTTGCTCATTTGAATCCGTTATTTTCTGACTCTGAAGCCAGCACTCTACCATGCTGCCTCCTTTTGGTTGAATAGAAAGCATTACCAACCTGCTGTTTGCTTGCTTTTACTAATCATTACAGCTGAATGTATCAAATATGCAGCTCACAACACTCCCAGGTACAGGCAGAACCTGATTAAAATTTGGGGAAAATTGGGAGATATTTTTGAAACATTTTAAAACATCATGTTAATATGTGGCTTTCTAAGTCATGTGCCAGCATGGATCCTTATGTGCAGTATTTAGTGGTGCCCATTTCAGTTTTTTTGATTCTGTCCTATCACTTCATTCTAGGCATAAAAAAAAAGATGCCTCATTGAGAATTTTTATATGTAATGAAAGTTACTGCTTTCAAGGGCTTATCATTAGCTGTTGGGCAACCCTTTTGTCCAGCATCAGGACTGAATCTTCAGATGGCTCTTAACCCCACCCCAGCCTTCCTCAACCCATGTTGAAAGCCAGCATCTAACATTTGTTGCCTTTCTGGCAGTAACTGAGCGTCTCGATTTTCCTCATCTGCAGCAGAAGGGCCTCCAGCTCCTTTATCCTCTTCCAGCCTGTCCAGCCTCTTCTCAATGACCTCTACAGACTTGGTGAACTGAGACTCAGTCTGACCTTACAGACTTGTAAAAGTAGGTCAAGCCTATCTGATAATAGGCCAGCCACATAGGACTTTCAAATATTTTGTAAGCCACTCTTCCGTTAAAGCGTATTGCAAAATGAGAACTCATTAAACATCAACTGAATCTGATGATGTCTTAAAATCTGCAAGAGATGCAGTCTTTATCCTGTAATTTTATGGTTGATGATATTGATGCCATATGATGGCAGAATAGTTGTTTTGAAAGCACCGTGAAATTACCAAGTAAATACTGTACACTTACTTGTGTTCTAAAGAGCAAGAGAAGTTTACAAGATATAATTGCCTTTTAGACTCCTTGTGTGTTCTCAGTTTTGGATTCCTGAGGCACAGTTGTTAACATAGTGACTAAGTTAATCCTTGACTTATTGAAACTAAATTAAAATTGGGAGAAAGTGAAACCTGAAGGAAATAGCCTTACAGAACTGTGTAGCTGTTTTAATTGATGATACTCTCCTAATAAAAGGGGTAGATCTCAAGGTTCTGTCAGAGCCCATCTCTCTCTACTCCTCTCTCTTGATGATCTCAGCAATGCCCATGGGTTCAATTTTCTCTATGTAGATGACTCCCAGATATATGTAGATATAGATGTAGATCCAACCCTATTCTGAGCTCCACTTTCACATCAGCAACTCTGTTTTGAAGATTTCTAACTGGATTTTCCCTTAGGTGCCACCTATTAAACGTGCCCCCGATAACTCAACTGTCCTTCCTATCTTATTCACTCAGTTTTGTGCCATTAATCATCCCTTTTCTTCTTATTCTCCTTCATCTCCCATGTCCAATTGGTTGCCAAATCCTGTCAATTCTGTCTCTACATCTCTAGCAATTAACCACTTTACTCACACCGCTGTCACCCTATTCCAGACCTTCACTACCTCTCACCTAAACTATTGTAAAAGCCGTACCTCAAATAAGTAAATGTCCAGTCGAGCCTCCACACAGCTGCCAAAGTAATATTCTTAAGCATGGTTCTGCCCAAGTCACTAACCTGCCCAGCAAGGTGGTACAGTAGATAAAATGCTGGGTCTGGAGTCAGGAAGACCTGAATTCAAATATGACCTCAGACACTCATTAGCTGTGTGACCCTAGGCAAGTCACTTAACTCCTCTCTAGTTCCACTTCCTCATCTGTAATATGGGGGCAAAACAACAACTACTTCTCAAGATTGTGAGGATCAAATGAGATCATTAAAAAGGGGTTAGCACTGTGCCTGGCACATAGGTAGATGGATGGATGTATAACTGGATGGATGGATAGATAAGTAGATGTAGTGCTATGTAAGTAATTTAGCTATTATATTGCATGTTTGGCTTCCTATTGTCCCTTGCACCAAGTTCACATCTCATTACTTCACACTGTCATCCAGCCAAACTGACCTACTTGCTGTTTCTGTTTCTCCTAATTCCCCCACCTGCCCTACATCCCATCTCCTATCTCCATGCTTATGCAGAGGCCACATCTTGAAAGCACTCATCACCTCAACCTCTTTAAATCCCTAGCTTTCTCCAAAGCCCATCTCAAGCCCCATTTCCTCTGTGAAGCTTTTCCTGACCCCCCAACTATTACTGCCTTCCTCCAGTCATGCCCCTCCCAAAAAAATTATCCTGTGTTTACTTTGTGTATATTTTGTATTTTCTTATATGTGTACATATCATTTATCTGAAAAGAACACAAGCTTCTTAAGGGCAAGGATTGTTTCTTTTTTGTTTTTTCTTTTGTTATCCTAGTACTACTACCTAGGTACTATCTCAGTGCCTGAGAGTACCACATGCAACTATTTGTTGGTTAATGAATGAATGCCTGCTCAATTACCCCATTTTCCATTCAAACTGGCCTACTTGTTCCTGGAATGGGACATTCCATTTCCCACTTCCATAACTTCACTCTGACAGTCTGCCATGGCTGGAATGTTCTACCTCCATACATCTGCCCTCATGGAACCCCTAGTTCCCTTCAAGGCTTAGCTCAATTTCCTACAAGAGGCCTTTCCTGATTCCTCCAATTGTTAGTGCCCCCCCACATACACACACACACACACACACACACACAGTAGTTGTATATTTTGTATTTAATTTTCTGTTTACATGTTGTTTCTCCCCAGTAGAATGTAAGTTCCTTGAGGGCAGGGACTTTCATTTTTCTTTTTTTTATTCCATAACTAAGCAGAAGTGCCTGACATAGTAGGTTCTCAATAAATGCCTGTTGATTCATTTAACACTTGCTATGTCTAGAGCATTAGGGAAAATAAATCAAGCTTAAATAAGACATGGTTACTTCCATCCAGTAGCTTATAATCCAGTTCTTGATAACTGGGTAAGTCCAACCCATGAAAAGGAAATTCCGTTACGACATATGCAACAAGTGGTCAGCCAGCCTCTAAGAGCTCCAAGTACTTACCACCTCTTCAGCAGTCCCACTATGGAACAGCTCTAATTGTCAGGAGGTTTCTTCCTAACACCAAACCCAAATTTGCCTCTGCAGCTTCCACCTGTAGCTCCTGGTTCTGTCTTCTGGGTCCAAGCAGAATAAATGTAGTCCCTCCTTCACATGGCAAACCCTTAAATTCTTGAAAATAGCTCTCTCCCCACCCTCCTGCTAGTATTTTTCAGACTAAACAACCCAAATTTCTTCATTTGATCCTCATGACAATAGCAAAACCACACTTTATTTTGTACTTCTCAAATGTTCTTAGGTTATATTGTCTTATAAATATGTGAATCTGAAGGGGAGGTTCTTACCAGTCTG